AGCCTGCTTGCATCATTTAGGGTCTATTATATTCATTATACGAGATTTGAAGGGGTAAAATTTTTATGAATAAATGAATCAAAGGAAAATCTTTTTTTTCTTGGAACTTGTTTTGAAACTATTTAAAATTGATCTTCAATGCCGCAAAAGATTCAAGGAATTCTTTGGCATCACTGTTGCGGCAAGAATCGCAGTCAGAACCACTCCCGCAGTCGTGCTGGTGGTTCCTCCTGCTCGTGTCCACGGCAAATTCTGAGCGTCTTCGTCAGGTTTCTTAGCCTTTCGTGCCCCTGCTCTGCAGGTTTAGTACATCCCGTGGGAATGCAGTGGCAATCCACTGTAGGCCTTTAAATGGATCGACGCAAAATTTCGTAAGTTCTTTCAATGCAACAAGTTCCACATGACCCTGCTCGGTGTATGAAGCCGATATCTAGTCTGTAGTCTGTCGAGGTCTATGAGAGGCCTAGGAGAGCGTCCAAACTGACGCTTAATACTGCTCCTTACTTGCTTGCCAGGACGTCTGGAGAGAGCCTCTATGAGACTTTGGGCTTGACGAAGACTGCCACTCAGGATGAAATCAAAAGAACTTATAGGAGGCTTGCGCTCAAATACCATCCAGACAAAAATCAAGGAAATCCTGAAGCTGCAGAGAAGGTAAATAGTCCTAATGTATTTATTTAGTTTTCATCGCATAGCCAGGCAAAATTTGGACCTTGTCCAAGTTGAAATTGATGCTATTGCATCCGAAAGAGGCCTGGGCCTAGCATTCTGAACAGGGGATGTCACACTAGTCTCACAATTCTTTCTTAGACACATTAGAATGGCATCACTTCAGTGAACACCATGCTTTGTTCATGTTAGCCTAACCAATAGTCATAATGGTGTAGAGGCTGGGAGGCCATCTCATCATCCACAGTTCATCACATAATAATAAATAAAACATTGGTAACCTTCATTGCATGTGTCTCTTGGGATACATCAACTTTTCCTTGAAGGCCTTCATCTTTGCTAGGTGAAATGGGTAAATAGGTAGAAATACTCAAAATACATAGTAGAAACAACAGCAAGAAAAGCTTAACTGTTCCTGCCCTGTTTCTTTGTGAACATGTCAGTTTCCTGGACCTGATAACTTTGATCTCTTTCTCTCCATTGTGAAATGACATTCATTCTTTTAGAAAGAAGGAAAGCATTCCTTCTTTAACTACGCATCATTTGCTCTGATAAAAAATGCAAGTTCTTATCAAAGTGGTACATGAAACTGCATGTTTGAGGCATGACTCTCAATCCTCACTATTCCTCGAAGGTATATGGAAAATTGAGTCGCACATGAATACGTCTACCTTGGAACTCGCTCTCAGATAATTCAGAGTTCTGGAGCAGCATTTCTCAACCTTTTCTCAGCAGCAGTGTAGAGAGATATTGGTGGCACTCATGCACATCCATGAACCCTTTTGTGCAATACCATGGGGCTAACAAAAACTCGGAAAATCGTTCATGAAAACTTTATTTTGAACTGTCACTTAGCAAGACAATCATATGATTCAATATTTGGAGGGACTCAAGGTAATTTTTAATGCATTGACACTCAGTGTTGATCTTAATAGATGCTCTCAATGATATTGCATTCCAGGAATATTGCAATGTGTCAATTTTGACACTTGTCTGGTTTTGTACTCCTCATACACTTTTTTATTCAGAGCATGGGCTGAAGTAGGTGAGATGCTTCAAAAGCTCATAAGAAGGAGTTTGTTGTTGACTCAATAGTTACCCCAATGATGATAATGTCAGTAAATGAGCAATTTTGCTTCCTGGCTGGCTTCGTTTTCTTTTGGTGACTGGCAAAAAAGAAAAATCTGGATACTCAGAATAGCTTTGTCAGATTCATGTGACATTCCTGAGTGCTATGGTACATTGGTGGAGCAACTATTATTCCAGAGGTATTTTGAGGAGTTCATGGAATGGCTGAAGATAAATTATTTGATCCCATGTTCTCAGGATGTGTCAGATCATTGGTATATTATGAAATGCACATCAAGGTCAACCTTGTTTTCATTTTGAAGTACATATGTGTATCATTCTGCATACATGGTATAGGAATGATATATGATTCACTTGTCTTTGTGCCAAATTTCATCAGAAGAGCAGAAAATATGAAGGTCACATAATTACCATTTTATCTAACTGTAATCAGGATTGAATTTCTTATATTACTAATCAAAAGTTACAGAATTTTATTTTATATTTTAACATCTTAAACTTTAAAAAAAATCAACTCTGAATGAATGGATGTGGAGTGCAACAAGTGCTGCATTTTCCTCTTAACTAATCATGGGAATTTCCTCTTTTCCAGAGGCATGACGCAGTTCCTTCTTTTTCTCAAATGAAACAAGGACTTTCATTGGCAGTACAGTATCAGTACTTTGCTTTAGATTGATTGTACAGCATGGTGACAACTCATGACCGTGATGACTCACTGTACAGATAAGGCCAGGAAAGGCACGGTTGGCTTTGTTGGTTCTTGTTGTTCTTGGTATGGATGAGGCTTAGCTCTAACTTTGGCATTCAAGTTTTATCTCTTTGAAATTTTCGGGAATTCTCATCCTCGGTCCCATTTCTCATGCCTGACTTCAAATGATAGTTTGATGGAGAAACAGTTATCATCATCTGTTTCTCCATGCTTTATACCTGGCTTCACTCATGCCTTTCATTTGTGTATAAAGGGAAAGAGCTGAAGTCAGTTCTGATTCTATGCAATGAAACAAATAGATGGATTGAATGTTTGAAGTAATTTTCATGCTGATGGCAAATATGGCAGTGTGCTATGAAAACTGCACTATGGGTGCATAGGTAAATTGGGTAACTTAAGGTCAGCATTTAAACTAACAAAATTAATGAATTATTAAATTGTTGAGAGTGCAGTTGATCAACAGGCCTGCAAGTCCTGTTCTAAGCCAATCTCATGAATCAGCCCTATGCAGATTTTAAAACCGGGTAATTAACCTTTTCCAATGAGGGAAAGGGTTGGGGAGGAACCAGATTTATGAGCAAATTGAATGCCTTCATGGTCCCATGCACATATGGGAGATTGACAATTTCAAGCTTTATGACAGGGGCTCCACGGTTTTTTTTTTTTGTCCTCTTGCTCCAGGTTGAAAGCATGCTAAGTCGCCGTTCATCCATTCCTCGCTATCATCTCTTTCGTGCAACGAAAGCCCTCTGTTAATTTCATTTTTCCCATTTTTGGTTGGGGCTTTATTTTATTTTATTTTATTTTATTTTATTTTATTTTATTTTATTTTATTTTATTTTATTTTTACTTACCGCACACGGCAAACATCGTCGCATTTTGAAGGCGAGCGGTGACGTAACAGCCCAGAGAAAAAATTCATTCTCCCCTCGCTATTGAGTGAAAGGAAATGCCGAAGACATTTCGTTATGCAATCGCCCGGACGATGCACTCACGTGCACGCCTCACTCGGCTTCCTCCGTTCCCTTCCAATTACCACATATTTACTCTATTTTATTTTATTTTATTTTATTTATTTTATTTTTTTCACCTATATATTTGAATTATCGTTTAGATAGCCCCGAGGAAGGGTACATTATGTCCTCAAAACGTAAGTTTCCTTTCATTTAACAATAAACGTAACATTTTGTGGTGCCTTTTATATATATTCTTGTTCGGTCTAAAATCCGCCGGCCCTTTTTTGTTTTATCCCAGGGGATCCCGGTTGCAATATGTGGAGCGGTTGGGTGTGTGATTTGAAATTCTCATCGTTCTGTCAATATTTAGACTCCCACGGCGAGATAAAGTTCAACGTACTTTTGTACGATATACAGAGATGTCTCAAGTGTCTCATGCGTTGCGTTTTTAACGCATCGTATCATTCGCTCGGAGGGCATGTAAGCTCGGTGCCTTTTGCATGGCTCCCGTTTTATCAGCTCGCTCCCGCAAATACCTGCGTGTTGGGCTGTAATCGGTAAAAGAGAAGTATTGATTCTGGGCTATTAATTTAAACCGATTGATAGTGATTGAGCTGCACGATCAAGTAGTAATCGGGTCTGAATTTCCTCTTCAGATAAGGCAGGGGACAGAAAATTCTATACGACGTGGACGTTAGTATGTCCCGGGTCGGGTGGTTCAACCGGTGTCTTCCTATGTCAGCTCGCGTGTCAGCCGGGAGTGACAGGCGGCGCAGTGGGGGGGGGGGGGGGAATGCAAAATCCTCTTTCGGGGGAGGGGAGGATGAAGGGTATCCTGTTAGCGGGGCCTTCCTTTCCCCATTCGGAGGGGGGAAACCTTCCTTCTACAGTTTCCAGGAATTCCAATTGCGGATAGTGTTCACCCGTAGGTGTGTGGGAGGCAAATCGAGTGAGCTGTGGAGTTTTTTTTTTTTTTTCGCGGACGTGGTCTGGTTAGCTTACGTTCTCTCGTATCTGCCGAGTGCTTGGGGATGATTGGGGACGACGATCTGAATGGAGAGACAAAGGCGGGCTCCCGTACTTATTCCCCGTTATTCCTCGGCCCCGTACTGTTCTCCGTCGCCAGCAAATGCGCGACTCTTCAAGCACCTGTCGGTTTTGACTCCGGTCCTGTCCTTTTGCACTGCCGACTCATCGTGGAGTAACGACACGGGCGCATCGATGCATGGCATCGGCCTTAGAAAGCGTGTCTCGTGTGACTGTAGTTGAGAGAAATTGCCCGGCGCGGAAGGTAGCTCTTATTTAAACGGTTGCAAGAAATTATAACAGCTGATCCTGCCCAGTGGATGTGCAACGTTTGGTTTTGATATATATCTTATGGATGCTAAAATTGAAAAAAAAAAGAGACTCATCTCACTTAATAGATATGGGAGACTTGGGAATTTATTCAGTCTCGTAATACTGGGTGACTCGAGCCTGGAAAAATAAGGGAAAATGCTTTCACTGCAACTTATACAATTGATGATCAATGCGGTGTCCCTCCATCTCGATGCATTTGCGCAGTTGCTTCCTGTTGGATGCGTCTGAGGATGTCAGATGTGATTTGGAGGCAGGTGTGTCATATGAGGTGCTTGAGGTGTTCGGTGTCGCGAATCTTGACAGTAGATCACGGCTTAGAGAGAAAAAAAAAAGAGAGAATCGGGCGATAACCATTTCCGGTAAGCCCAAAGTGGGGCGGCGCTCCCATGTTGCTGACGCCATTGGGGGAGCGAACCCGTCTTCGTTGAGCGAGGATGGCTTGGCCTCCTCTTGAAGCATGAGCATTCGTGCAGGATTGACATTATTCTCGAGGAAGAATGGGTGCGCCGTTTTTTTTAAATACCAAATTCCGCGCCAAACCGTCGCTTTGCCTGATCCCTGCATCTTCATTGGCTTCATCCCGTGTGGATTTTCGCGAGGCCAGTACCGATAATTCAGACGGCTCACTACCCCATTAACATGAAAATTGGCTTCATCGGTGAAAAGCGCCGTGCACGGGAAGTTTGGGTCATCGTTATCCTGGTTTAAAGCCCACTCAGGGCTAAACGGCGATTAGGATCATCTTCGCTAAGCTCGTGAAGCATTTGAATTTTGAATGGTGCCCCTTTTTCTGTTTCAAAACGCGAGCAATGCTGCTTTTAGTGGTACCTGTCGCATGGGACGTTTTCCTGGTTGATTTGTGCGGGCTGAGGTTGCTCATTGCCTTATCAGTTGCCGTTCTGCGGGATCTACTGCCACACGTTTACACATACCAATCGCACCTGTTTCCTTGAATTTCGCCCCTAACTTGGGTGTAGCACCGTCTGTGATTGGTGGGCGATGAGGATGTCATTAAGTGTTTCTGCATCCTTCTTTAAGCTGTCACTCCCGTGCAAAAGTATCAGTTCCACACATTCTTCTTTACTCAGAGCCATTATTCTTCACACGATACCTGAAAAGAAACACATCAATATGCTTTTCTGTTTCCAGACGTATGACTCACCTAGTGGATGGATTGTGGCTAATATTTTTGGGTTTTAAATCAACTTCCAATTGGGGGCCCTGGACTGATATGATGAATATATGATTTCAGTGTATACTGAAAGCCCTGGGTTTCAATAATGGGCTTTGGGAGGTTAACCTTTTTTTTTTTTTTTTTTTACCTCCTCTTAGCCTGAATAATGCTGAGACAAAAGATTTTTGCAAGGTTTGGGTTATCCTGAGTTGAGGGCAAATAGATGGTTGTAAATTTGTTGGAACTTGGGTTTGTCAATCTGGAAGACCTTTGAGCCTTAATCTAGCATACTCCCCGGTTTTTTAATTTTTTGCATTGAGTTAACCTAAAGGAATGAAATATGTATCAGTTTTGGTTATTTTAATTAGGTTCATCCAGATATTGTATACTGCACTTGTATGTTGCATTTCTTAATAAAAGTTACTTAAGCCTGTATATCATGGATGGTTTATATTGTAGTTCAAGGAGATCAATAGGGCATACACCACCCTGAATGACCTCAACAAGCGGCGCATCTACGACGAGTATGGTTCGTTCGGCTTGTACATCGCCGAGCAGTTCGGCGAAGAGAACGTCACGACATACTTCATCCTTTCTTCGGGGTGGTGCAAGGTGGGGTCTTCTGTGATTCTTAACATTTGTAACAGTTGCAACATTTTCCTGATGGCAATTGGTCACTTAATGAGAGATCTCTCCCCAGGCTGCCCTGTGCTTTTGTGGCCTCATCACGGGCTGCTACTTCATCTGCTGCTGCTGCTTCTGCTGCTGCTGCAACTTCTGCTGCGGGTACTGCAAGCCGCAGCCGCCCCCGGAGACGGGAGACTATCACACGTTATCAGTGAGTTCCCTGCAGATTCCCATGTGGACATTTTTCTCCATTTGTGATTTTGTTGCTTGCTGCTGGTGTTGGGACTGAGAGGCTCCAGAAGAGCCTGTAATGTGATTGTAGCACTTAACTGTTTCACATTGTGAAAGCAGATTCATGTTGTCATCTGTTGTTTTCACTGACTAACTTGCACAAATTATAATGAAGTCTTCACTGAAATTGCATTTATGAAACTGCACCATACCCCTAAAGATGCATCAGTTTCCCAGTATTGATTCACTTTTCCATTCATCCCTTGTCATGATGAAATGCCCTTAATATCTTTGAGTTGCAGTTTTATTTTGATGTATGAGGAGAATGCATTGCCATGATTTTTTTATGTTTGTTGTGTTACATGTGTTTTCTTCATTGCCTTGCTACAGAGAGAGGACCAAGCCACGGAAACCTTAGGTGAACCTAGAACCTCGGAAAACAATAAGCTCGTAAGGATGAGTTTTCTGCCACCCCTGCTTATTATTTTTAGTGGGCCTCCTTTCTGAAAAAGAACATCAACACTTCCAAAAAAGAGATAGTCATGTCCTATATGTTTCCCCATGCATATGTGCCCATTTATTTTGTCTAACAATAACTAAAAATGAATGCTAGGATGTAAAGATATGCAGAGAAGGCATGATTGCCTGAGTTTTTTTTAATGACATACATGCCAGCACCAGAAACATCCATTGTGTCTTTATTTTTTTAACTTGTTTGCTTCTCAGCATTGGGTACTGAGCCTAGAAGTATCGGATGCTGATCTGGTTCCCCCTTCGGATTTGCATCATTTTAGCTCTGGATTCATGATGTAGGAGTTGAGGGTCAGGATGAGCTTGTATTATTTTAAATTTTGGTTTCTTGTTGTATTAATTTAATTTTAATTGATGTATTATTCCTTTTATGAATCTGGTGAGAGAAACTCTTATACTGGCAATGAATGACAAGTGCACCATCAAGCCTAAGCAGGGGTCTTAGAGGGGAAATTTGAGAGCTATTTAGCCCCTTGAGACTTTGGACATAGTTGCACAAATTTTCAGCTGTCGTCGGTAAAATTCTCATAGTTTGGAGAGTACAAATCTTAATTCTAGTTTACATGTGAAATTTTCAATATTTCGATAAGTTTGAGTGAACAATTAGGTGTTAGTTAAAAAAAACTCTGCATGGCATCATGCAGTCACCAAATGGTCAAATCTTCACTCATGTAAATTGGAATTCTTCTAGTTGTGTGCAATTAATGAGTGGTCTTGTAGCAGACAGTCAAAAGTCAAACATGCTCACTTTTTTTATTATCAATCTTCTAGGTATGTATTGCCAAATCAGGTTTGGGGATCTGGAAATTAATTTTTTTGCAGCAGTTTTTAAAATAAAAATTGTTTACATTTTAGAGCATCTTTTTATATTTTCTTATCCCCATACATGGTTGGCAGTCTAGTCCCCAGAGTTGCACATTTCATATCTACTGGGACTCTAGATGTGACTATGATGGTATTTTTAAAATCAAGCTTAATATTGTAGTCAAGTGCTCAATCTAATGAAATTTAATAATTTGCCTATTTATTTTATTTTAAGACTTTTTTTTCCATTGCTAAATTTCAAGGATCGCTTTAGAATCATCTGCGAAAGATACTTATGGCTGAAAGCAGATGTACAGATGAAAAGACACCAGTGATTGCCCATGTCTATTGAAATTCCAGCATAAAAAATATTATCTTAGATTCAAAGACATACAGTATGTTACATGTGATGAAGAAATGGAAGCATCATCTTTGGTGAAAGGAGGCCCACTATTGGACTGGGCTCGTTCAGTGTGTTTTTGGTCTTATCTTCCCTACAGCTTATCATTGGTTCAGTAGGCCTGATCAGTTCATGCCTCTCTTTTAAGCAGGCAATTTGGTTTATTGCATGAGTTTGCTTGTTCACCAATTAGACAATGCGAAGCCATTACCATGCTAAAGTTCTTATTGGATTGGATTAGTGTGTGTTGTTTTTCAATGGGGTTTTGTTTTGCAGGAGGACTCAAGTTTAAGCGGTGGGGAAGCCGATGGGTCTCCCAGACATGCGAGGAAGTTTGAGTCCAACACACCTCCACGTGGAAGTCCCAGACAGGGCAGTCCTGTCATCACTCAGCAGCCAAAGAGAGAAAGTCCGGCCCATCATCCTAGCGTTGCCATTCCCATGCCTCCTCCTTCCACCTCGCCGGCGGATGCAGTGGCAGATGAGCGGACCAGCCTCAACCCTGGGGTTGTTCCTGGATACAATGCAGGTAAGGTTCCTCCTCTGTCTCAATGGAGAAAATTCTGTCTGATTGGATTGCAAATTGACTGAGCTAACAACTGGAGGAGGCACAAAATCTTAATTTTAGAAGATTCCCTTGGAGTTTTAATGATGTGTTTCATGATAATAATAGATGGCTGATTGTAAGTGCCAGAAAACCAGAGGTATTGGATTTTGCACATGAGAAGGAGGAGTTCTTCATCAATTTCGAAATTGGAATTGCTTAGTTTCTTAACCTCTTTTGGAACAGTAATGCCATTCTTGCAGGGAAAAGGTTCAACAAGTTCTCATGGGATCATCTTTTTCCCTGTAATGTTACTATGAGGTTTTGTCCTTATTCTAAGACATCTTTTTGTGAGAAAAATTTGTGAAGCTTACACTGAGTCATTCAAGCTCCATCTTGCAAGAAAGGGGAGGCAAACAACTCCATTACAATATAGTTTGGGGTATTAAGGCTAACACCAACCACTGAGCTAAAAAGAGAACTGGAGATGGCGCACAATACGATGGATTTGGGGCAATTGGAAGCCATCTTAGTTGTGTCCGTGGTGGCTCTTCTCCATTCGCTACAATGGGATTTTCATAATTTCCCATCTCAGTTTTCTTGCTGTCGTGATCATGGTGGCAGGCAGTCATGGTACCGGAGGCCTAATAATTCTTGGGGGAGTATCATAGGGCTGATAACGTCATGTCGGAACTCTTCTTTCATGTGGGCGAGTGGGTCATTTCTCGAGTGAGCCTCCAAGTTCCAGGCTTGCCCTTGCAGAGTTTGCTGGGCCTACGAAGGCGATAACATTACGCCGCCCTTGCATCATCACAGTCGACATAATTTACAGCAAGTCTAAGGCATAAAGTCAAAAGAACTTCGAGTGAACGTTCAAAGGTAAACATAGGCTAAAAGAAACGAAGGGCGACCACGAGGTGCATGGTAGAGGTGTTGGCGGGTATTGGCAGGGCATGCTTCCGTATTCAGAAGGGCTGCTCCAATGTTCCCGCGGTACCTGCTCCCTTCCTCGGCCAATGCGCACCGCAGGCCCGCTTTAGCCTGGACCCAACCAATATGGCTTCAAAATGCACCCTTTTCCCTATGCTACTCCTATGGCCGCACCATCTCCAGTTCTTTTTCTTAGCTCAGTGACACCAACACTGTGACAGACATTTTGCACCACAGTAAAACTACATGCTGGAGAATTTAGACTTGTGTCTCTGTGCCATTCTGTAAGCATAGTTTTCCTGTGCCTTGAAATCTGGTGTTTCAGCCACAACTTGCATTATTGTGTAATTAAATCACACCTATTTACTTTTGAGGAAAAATTTGTGGCTGAATCACCTGAAAATAAGTCAAGCAGGATTTAGTTTCATCTGGTGATTTTTGGCAACAACAGGAAAGAGCTCCATGTTGTAGACTGTTTAAACTTGGTGTTGCTCATATCTTTGGATTAAACCTTGCATTATTGTGGCACAAAGGGAAATTGCCTGGATGTGACATTGAACAATTACATTGCTATAAAATAATGTTATTATATAAATAATTTTAATAATGAGGGATGTTTTGATTGCTGAATAAGAAACTGCTTTACAAAATTTAAAGTAATTTTTCAACCTGACTCTTCTTCAGGTCTTACCACATTCACTGCCAAGAATGAATGAAAATTTTCAACATACTTTCAGTAATGGTGTGGTATCTGGTATCTTGTAGGTTAGGAGATATTTGAATGACATCTCTTTATGAAGTAAGTAACTATTAGGAAGACTGCATGAAAATGGCTAGTAGTTGTATAGGTGTATGGCCCTGATGAAACAGATTTGTAAAAACAGCAATAGCCATATATGGCAGTGAATGTGTCAATGTTTTACTTCATCAAATGGGAATTTTGACATTTTTAATAATTCAAACTTAATGGAGTTGAGTTAAAACAAAAGTTACATGTTTGGGAACCAAAGCTCAAAGAGGAGGTGAGGGTGAGGGTGAGGATAGGATGACAAGGAACCCATTTGTGGCTGGTGGGAACATTTCCGGGGAGAGGACGTCTGCTTCCAAGTTCAACCCTTTCTTCGCTGAAGCTCATGCTTCACCATCTCCTGCTTCCTCTGTCTCTCCTAAGTCAACTAATCCTTTCCAATAACACTTGGTGGGTGGCTCCTTCTTTGCTTTCATGTGTCTGCCTGCATTGGGAGCTGTTAGAGCTTTGCATGCTTTTCTCTTTGTAGTCTGCTTGCCTTGGAAGATAATAGTATTTGCTTTTTGGTTTTCAGCATTTCTGAAGTATATTATTCTGTAATTGGTATGAAGAATTCAAGAAGTTTTGCAGCTCTATTTTTCTATATGACTTGTATGTGAAAAACTTTCTTCTTGTCCTTCCTACTTCAAGTGATTTTTGAAGCAGTTTCTCTCAGTTATTCAACTTCAAGAATGGTGGATACATGGAGACATTTGCTCATTTTGCACGAATGACAAGAATGCATTCATTGTGTCTCATTGCACAAAATGTTTGTGACTCACTTATCTTCATTGGCATGCATAAGGTGCTGGAATTCATTTTCCATAGATGATATGAGTAAAATGAGCCTCCTACTTCACTCAGTCAGCTAGAATTGGAATCCAAGCCAATATTCACAGCAGGGGTGTCAGGATTGTCATTTTGAAGCTAGGAGAATTTCCTCTCATACATGTTTTAACATTATCAGATCATTTTGGCTTGCTACCACAGGTTCTTAAGATTGGGAAAGCTGTTACCCCTGATTGTTATCAGGAGGATGAGTTACTTTCTATTATTTGTCTAGGGACCCAGAATAGGCTAAGGCCAGTCTAATTCCAGATTTCAGTTAGAGATTTGATGCACTGCACTTGGCTGATTGATGTAGTAGCTGAAGATTGTGCCTGTGCTGAATGATATGTACTCCATTTCATTAATTTTTGGATTATGGTGGCAACTCTTCATGTAACACCCATGGATACATACAGGGTGTCTGAAAAGTCACTCCCTATTTTGAAATTTAAATTTAAAAAGAGGGAGTGACTTTTCAGACACCCTGTATATCTTGACAAAAGTATACTCACTTCCGTCTTGAATAGATTCATGTGCAATATAATCTGCACACTGATGAGCCTCATTCAAATTTTATAGTAGTCTTGGGTGCATGTCATCTTCGGTTTTGGGATTGCACATGGTACTCATGTTGGACACAATAGCAGGGCAGCTGTGCATTGTACTGCAAACTCACTGTGCAAAAATATATTTTGCCCTTTTTGTTACATTTTGCTAGCTGTTGCTTATTACATTTCTTGAGCAGAGTATAGAGGTCCTCAGCTTTTTCACTACTTTAACCTTTTAGTGGTCATGAGGTGAAAGGATCATGGATATTGATTAATGCCTTATTGCATGCTTCTTCTTGTCTGGTTAACCCTTTGAGCCCTCACCACCGCTTTACCGGTGGTAGAGAGAAATGATGTATTGCCTGATTGGCACACAAAGAAAGAATTCTGGCGTTAAAATGAAGGTACGCCATCCTGCTATTTGCATGCAAAGCATCAATCTCATCTCTTTTATTACAACTATGATATTTGCACAAACATTGTATACCCATTATTAGCAAATTTTGGCCCAGGAGCTCAGGCAGAAGGCTCAAAATTGCTCAGGAACTCAGGGCTCAAAGGGTTAA